TAAAATTTAAAAAGTATAAAATATAAGCTGTATCTTGTGTTTTTCTTTGGTGTCCTGAATCCTCTCCGATTCCTTTGGGATCAGTCATCATTCAAATCTGTCCTAGCATTTCTTTCACTGTCCTCAAATGTCTGATGAGCAATAGTTGTAGCATGTATTCATTAAGGAACCCTTTAATGTTTATTACAGAGCCCCGGTAGTGTTGGTAGCTGGTGCAGGGTCCCTGTCCTGTGGGCTCCTCCTCCTCGTTCTGGTCCTTCCCCTCTCCCTCCTCTCCCCTTCCCCCATACTCCTTCCTCCTCTCTCTCTTCTCCCAGATCCTCAGATACGAGCCCTCCATGAAGAGGGACTGGCAAAGGTCATCTGCACGGCACAGTCAGGGAGCTGGCGTGGCAACCCCAGAGCCCACAGGCACTCAGGAGAGAAGTCGTATTATGATGTACCTTGGTCCTCACTTAGCTGACTTCCCTGTGTCCTCCTATCCCAGAAGTAATGGATGCAGCTTAGGTGCCCAGGCCAGATGTGCTTTACTCCCTGTCCCTGTCGACACCCATCAAAGGCTTGGGAAAAACAGGCTCACCCTCTTTTCTGACGCCTCCATCCATCCGATTCCAACACTTGCTCTCTTACTAGGATTCCTCTAAATGTCTGATATGCAGGGGGCCCCCTTTCTTATTTTCCAATGCTGGTGTAGCTCATAAATTTAAAACAGATTTTCTTTTCCGTCCACATTTGCAGACCACAATGATCACATTCCTCGTGGGGAGCTGGTCCAGGTACATAACACATCTTAATTCTTTTTCCACCCTCTCCCTCTTCTTCCCTCTTTTGGTCCCCTTCACTATTTCCTATTATCTACCTTTTTTGCTCTTTATTTGTATTTTGGCTTTCTCATATAAGAGAAACCATCTGAATAAGTTCATAGTCTCAAGATGCACCCGTTTTCTACACATGATTCAAGTTTAATCTTCTTTATGGCAGAGTAGTACTCCATTGTGCACAAAAACCACATTTTCCGTACCCATTCATCTGTTGGACATATAGGCTGCTTCCACGTTTAGCTATTATGAATTGGGCTGCTATAAACATGGATATGGATGTATCACTGTAATATGGGTATGCTGTCTTTAACTCTGTTGGAAAAATACCTAGAAGGGCGATAGCTGGGTTGAATGGAATTTCCTGTTCTAGTTTTTTGAGGACTCTCCATAATGGTTGCATCAGTTTACATTCCCACTGACAATGTAGGAGGTTCCTTTATCTCCAAAGCCTCTCCAGTGTTTGTTATTATTTGATTTCTTGATGAAAGCCATCCTTCTGGAGTCAGATAAATCTTGGTGTTGTTTTAATTTGCATTTCTCTATGGTCAGTGTATTACTTTTCTGCCTTTGCTGAGACAAAATACCCAAAGTTAGAGGGGAAGGAGTTTTTTGACTTTTGGTTCATAGAGGATTCAGTTCAAAATCACCTGGCTCCAAGGCAGGGATGGCAAACAGGCATCATTGAGGAGAAGCAACGTGGGGTGCACAAGGTAGCAAAGGTAAGAAGTGGATCTTAACAGTGTCTTAGGGTCTTTCTTCCGGTATTTTGAGACAGGGTCTCACTATATAGTTGAGACAGACCTGCAACTCACTATGTAGCCCAGGCTGGTCTCGAACTCACAGTGATCCTCCTGCCTCAACCTCCCGAGTGCTGGGATCACAGGTGTGTACCACCATGCCCAGCAGTGTACTTCTTCTTTTGAGAAGTGTTTATTCATTTCAGTTGCTCATTTTTTGATTGGGTCTTTTCTTTGGGGGGCATCTAGCTTTTTTGAGTTCTTTAAATATTGTAGATATTAGTGTTAGATTTCCCTTTCCTTAAGATAGCTGCTACATAAAATAGCAGCCTCCTCCTTCCCATAATGCCACATGGAATAGCAGCCTCCTTCCCATAATGCCATGTTAAAATATGGCTTCTCCCACCAAAGGACAGTCTTCTTGTTCCCAACATGCCCCTCTTACCTCCAAGAAAGGTAACCTGATACTTGCTACCTCTTAGCATCTAATGATCTCACAAGCCTATCCTAGTAATGTCACTGGCTCCTCCAACCCCTTAATACTACCTCACTCAACTCCACCCCAGCTCAGGCTAACCCCACCCCGCTCCTATAAAACCAGCTCCGTGTTCTGCCATGTTACTTTCTCTCCTTTGTTCAGATACAGCCCGGCAGATCCTCCCCATAATAAAGGCTTGTTCTGGTCCTGGTCTGGTCCTGGTTTTCAGCTCTCTTTACCTAACATATCTGGTGCTAAAACCCGGGAGAAAGGCAGTCAATTAAGCGATGATCCTCCATGGTCTGGGATTAACCGGCCTTTTGGCAGCCTCCTCCGGACCACACCTGCCAAACCAGGACCTCCTTGAGGCCGTCTACCTTTGCCATTGCTGAGGACTCAGCACACCGGTCACTGATTTCGGGGTGCGTGGGTAGTTAGCTTCCCTCGGATCCTCTGTCTCAGTCTCATTCTCTCCCTTTGGGGACCTCTCAGGAAATCCAAGTGCTTGGTCAGAGAGACCCCTCAGGCTTCTGGGCCCAGGACCGTGCCCCTGGGGGACACCCCATTGGACCAACTCCTCTCCTTTTCCCCTTCTGGGGACTGGCTCGGGGAGCGTCAAAAGAGACGAAGACATCCTCTCTTTCGCCCTCTTCCTAGGGAGCTACCTCCTCCGCACCCATGCTAATATGGGTGCCCAACAATCCAAACCCCCCTCCTCAATACCTTCTGGCACAACTTTGTCCCCTTGGGTTGTTGGGACCGAACTTTAAGCCAAAACGACTCTTTTTTTTTTTTTTTTACAACCAAGTTTGGCCTCAGTACAAACTAGACAATAAATCTGGCCAGAGAATGGCACTTTCAGTTGTAACATACTGTGTGATTTTTGTCAATGCAATGGCAAATGGTCAGAAATCCCCTACCTACAAGCCTTCTACCTATGCTCTTGTCCCTCCTCCTGTCAAACCTGTTCACCCTCTCAGGTACTCCTAGCCCTAACTCCGTCATCCAACCCTCCTGTTTCACCCCCACATTCTCCTTGCCTGAGTGACTCCCCCCACCCACCTCAGCCTGGACTTCAAAGTGACTACTTTTGATCTGGCGAACCACTTTATAAAAGGTCGTTCTGCCTGCAAGGCCCCGCTTGGTAAAATGCTGTTTTATCTTTGTCTTGTATATGTTACTGTTTGGATTTAATTGCTTAAAATTATTGTAAAATGAGCTTGTGAGTTTCCTCTAGCTTTGGTATTCAAGTTTGCTTATTTGTACAAAAATTAATTTATTTTTCAATGGGTTGTTGTCTTCCTTCTGTATCCAAAAGCCAACTGGGAGTAAATTTGTTTCTAAAACAGTACAAGTTTTTTTTGAGGGGGTCACTTACAAAGTAAATGGGTCTCTGTACCTCTAGGTTACCCATTTTTCTATATTGCATTTAAGACAGAGATAAAACACCAGGGCTACAGGGCATAATGTTATTCTTATATCTCAGATGTCACTGGACAGCATAAAAAATCTGTGTTCTTGACCTTACACCCACCTTGAGGCAGGAATTTTGTTATCATTCCCTCCTTTGGCTAATTGACAAATTACCTTTCATCTCCAACTTAAAATAATGTTTAATTAGTATGCTTAAAACATTTCTTGTACATTACAAATTCTTACATTGTAATAACTTGCTCTTTCTGTACTTTCATGATTAAAAAAACTCAAGGTTACAAATACTCTATTGTTAACCATCAAATTTTAAAGTAGAACACTGAGGAAATAAAAAAGGGAACCTTTTAACATTTGAACAACTGAAGCCAAGTTTGTTATAAAAGGTTTATAGTAATTGGGATAGTAAAAAATATATTTTATAAGGCTACAAATAAAGGGAATATACTTTTGATATAAAAAGATTTTGTATGTTTGTCTTGTTAGAAGACTGAAGAGAGATACACAAGACCAGAAGGCCTGGGTATGTTGAGAAGATGTGTGGAAGTGATTTATCAAGGAAATATATATGTTTGCTTGTTGGTTTCAAGTTTGTTATAAAAGGTTTACATTTGCAGTCATAAAGAGCTTTCATTCCTCTGATTCTAATTCTACAAGAGATTTCTGTTAGTTGACCTGCAAAAGTTTTGACTAGTCTTAATTAAGAGATGTTATAATTCAATTGGCCAAATATATTTGAGCACACTCTAGTTTCTTAGTTTTTGTTTGGATTTTTGGTTTTTTGAGACAGGGTCTCACTGTGTAGTTGAGACTGACCTGGAATTCACTATTAGCCTAGGCTGGTCTCGAACTCTGAACAATCCTCCTGCCTCAGCCTCCCGAGTGCTGGGATTACAGGTGTGTGCCACCACGTCCAGCTTGAGTGCACTCTAGTTTCATATATTGTCTTATGTATTTGTCTGTGCCTGTCCAATTGTTTGAAAGGGTTTGTCCAATTACATTTTTTGATTGAAATGGCATCAAAGATACAAATACATCATTAATTTCTACAATCTGATTTTACAGGTTAAATAAAAAATTGTCCAGATAATTAAATATAAACTTTTAGGTTTGGATAGACTCCTCTTGGTGAATAAAGAAGCAGTTGCTCAGAAAAATTTATTCTGGTCTTTGTTCACTAATGGGAGCTCCAGTAATTTTCATAGTCTTATAGGAAAGATACACCCCCAATAAACATTGCTAAATATGTTGTTATAAAATGTTTACCTTGGTTATCATCAAAGGGTTGAGTTCTAATATGTTATTGTGATATGTTTATAATGGTCATCTTCAAAATATAATATTTTCTGTGGAAAAACAAGGAGTTATTTAAAAAGATCCTTTTGGTACCAAGCTACACTGTAAGACATAAGGTTTCATGTAATTATAGCAACTTATTACTGCTTTTCTGATGTACAAAATATATTCATGTTTTCTGATTACACAGGTCTTCCAGCATATTGTTTATGACAATAACCTTTTGATCCAGATATTCGCCCTTCTCTTCTGCTCCACCTACTCATGATTTCAGGTACATTTGTAGGCCCATACAGTTTCCTAAGATGGCATCTTACCAAAAGATCATAACTTAACTAAGAATTTCTTGTTTTTGTATGTTTTTAGAGGGAAATAAATACATTTAACAATGGCTATTTTATACTAAGATACTTATCAAAGTTTGTTGTAAAGACAATGTCATCATGATGGTCATACTAAACTATTATTATCAAGATGTGTGGCTCCTGATTCAAAGTATTTTCTGTTAATATTCTGCAGGAAGTAAACTACTAGAACAACCATAATTGATAAAAATAACAGTCCTCTAACTATATTTTAGATTCCAGGGTGCTTGCTATCCAGATAAAGTTATGAATGTTAGGCTCACTGATCTTAAGGTGCTACTGATGTCTCTGATCTTCTCTTCTGGGTGTTCAACCACCATAGTGAAGAGAACAACCCTAAAGGTAATTGGGCTAAGAAGATCACCAATATTTTGGCCCTGGACCTCCAAGATCATCAAAGATCCAAGGTATGAAGGGATCTTTTCTACAACACCCTATATCTTTGATAAGTCACCCAATCTCCTGAGCAGGGAGATTGCTGAGGGCAAATGCACCTTGTGCCAAAACAGGGTCTCCAAGAGAAAAAAAATCTCCCATACTTTCACTGAAAGCAACTTGGTCAAGCAAGGCCGTGACCCATCTGGAAGGCCGACACTGACAGAGGAACAGAGAGGCTCTACGCATGGTTAGAAAGTAATGGCCTGACCTTCATAGATAACAAGAGGTTCATATTAATTAACGCAGGTCTCACTTTAACTTGGTCTTAAACACCCAGCAGAAAATAATAACCAGAAGAGGTATAAAACAGTGCCATAGTAATAAATGTAGGTATAAAAAAATACTCACCCCTTTTGGGTGTTTCTGGCTGTACTGTATGGGAATGATTACAACTCTAGACTATTCCATGTGTAAAGAAAGGCAGGGTATGTGGACCTGCTGGACACTAAAAACATACTGGGAATCATTAAAACAATGACAGGAGGAGGTAGAACAGCTCACAGCCAAAACACGGAAAACACCTCCCCCAATATAAAAACATTGATCTGTACACACACACACACACACAAAAAAAAAAAACCCAAAAAACAAAAAAACAAAAGCTTCTGAGATCCATAAAAGGCTCCTACACCTCATGAATACCACCCTACTTAGTTTGCCAGGCAACCAAACTGAGTGCTGAATGTCCCTGTCACCCCGATTCCAGCCATGTCCCCACACCAATTCCCCTTAACTGCACTATCCCTGCCCAGAAAATATCACAACAATATTAGATCTCTTAGCAACCCAATGAAAATCCTCCACACATGGCAATTGGACCTGCATAAATTCATCCGTCATAAATCAGTACAGCTCCACCCCATAGGCTAAACTTATTCATATTCCTGAGTCAGGCATAGCCTGTCTCACTAAAGGTTTGTTTTATATCTGTGACTCCCAAACCTTTTGTTGTTTCAAATCAACCCTCTCTTCCCTCTGTTATGTAGGCTTCCTTAGCCCTCCCCTCACAATTTATGCAGAAGCCCAGTTATTACACCAAGTCTTGCCCTCACAACAGCCACCTATCCACTGTCTCAATAAACAAGCTCTTCCCATCCTTCCCTTTCTGATAAGGGCCGATATTCTGGTAGGAATTGGCACTGGGTGGCAGGAATCTCAACATCAACATTTCTATGACTCCTTATCCCAAGAACTAAACAAAGATATGGAAAAGGTAGCTGACTCTCTGGTCACCCTACAGTCCCAAATCAATTCACCGGCAGGCGTGATACTCCAGAATAGATGGGCCTGCTGGAGACAAGATAAAGGAACTCAGGGAATGCATTGAAAAAATGTAAACAAGACCTAACTGGGTATACCCTCTGCCAGGATACTTTGACCAATGACTTTGCATAATCCTACTGTTTGGACCCTATCTGTTCTATTGTCTTTAAATTTTCTTATAGGAATGCGTGGCAGCATTTACCAACCCCGACAGTCATGGAACTCATCATGGTGGGGTACCAGCCACTGTGGCAAGGAAGAAAACCCCACCTACCACTGCCCCCATCAGATCCAGGTTTAAACCCCAACCTTTGCCCCTTGGTCAGCTTGAAGCAGCTCCAGAAGAAGAGATCTTCACCCAACAACCACAAAACAAAAGCCTGGAATGTTAGATTTCCCTTGCCTTAAAATGGCTGCTACATAAAATGGCAGCCTCCTCCTTCCCATAATGCCATGTTAAAATATGGCTTCTCCCACCAAAGGACAGTCTTGTTCTTCCCAACATGTCACTCTTACCTCCAAGGAAGTTAACATGATACTTGCTACCTCCTAGCAGCTAGTGATCTTACAAGCCCCTCGTAGTGATGTCAGAGCCTCTTCCTATCACTAACTCCACCCCAGCTCAGGCTAACCCCACCCTGCTCCTCCTATAAAAGAAGCTCCCTGTTCTGCCATGTTGCTTTTCTCTCCTTTGTTTGGAGACAGCCCAGCAGATCCTCCCCATCATAAAGGCTTGTTATGGTCCTGGTCTTGTCCTGGTTTTTGGCTCTTTTTACCTAACAGTTAGTTCTCTGTATGAGGAATAGCTGGAATTTTTTTCCCTATTCTGTAGATTGTCTCTTTACTTTGTGTGTTCTTGCTGTGTAGAATATTCTTTATTTGATATGATCCCACTTTTTGATTTATGGATTATTTATTGTGCAATTGAGGCTCTATTCAGAAAGTACCTATACTGTTACAGAAATTTTGTAATTCATAAAGATAAAATTGTAATTCATAAGCTAAGACACAATATTCTCATGAAATGTTAAGACAGGCGGCTGTGTTTAAGATGATATGTACTTTTCAAACCGCAATGTTCTCCCTGTAGCAAGACGATATCTTAAGACTTTGCTGTAGCTGCTTATCAAAAGCCACCTGCAATATGAAAAGCCCCAATGTAATGCTTCTGCTTTGCCAGATAATCCCCTCTTGTAACAGTATAAAAGTTTATTCAGATCTGAGCTCAGGGTCAGACCACAAGGACTTGTTTCTCGGGTCTGCCCTTACTATTAGCAATAAATTTTTTTTTTTTTTTTTTACCCAACTCCTGAGTCTCTTAAAATTCCTTTCGGTACATTTGCCACAACAATATCTATGTATGTCTTCAAGAGTTTTACTGATTTTATCTTCCAGGAGATTGTTTCTGTTTTACATTTAGATCTTGGATCCATTTTGATTTTATTACACGGTGAGAGATATGGGCCTAGATTCAGTCTTCTGCATATGGATATCCACACCATTTGTATGTAGTTTTTTTTGTTGTTGTTGTTGCTGTGTTTGGTATTGGGGATCAAACTCAGGACCTTCTGCTTGTGAGGCAGGCAGTGGAACCACTGAGCTAAACCCCCCGCCCCTTCCAGCCCCATTTGTTAAAGAGGCTGTCTCTCCTCCAGTGTATGTTTTTGGCCCCTTTGTCAAAGGGTTATATTGTGGCAGAAGCATGTGGTGGAGGAATTCTGTTCACTCTATGGTTGTGTGTGACAGAGAGAGTACAGACCAGGACCCCACAATGCCCTTCAAGGCCGTGCCTCTATGATTAAAGACCTCCACCAGACCCCACCTCCAAAGACTTTCCAGCTCCCAATTCCATGGGATTAAGGCTTTACTTCAGGGGGTCTGAGGGGCATGATATTCCAGGTCAAAACCACAGCATCTGGCCTGGACTATGGAAAGAAGACACTATTGAATGGACAGTTTCGGTAACATGGCTCCATAGTTCACTGAAATTACAAATTTAGACTCTTCTATGATTTTATAACAAAGATTAAGAAATCTATTGTTGAATTTCATGAGAGGAAAGACCTTATTTAATTTTTTTCTCCTTAAATTGTACATCATGTATTTGACCGACTACAAGATAACTGTAAGTATTAGTCAATACTCGATTTTCCCAATGAAACAATTAAAATAAGGAAGTTTTGGTTTTGCTAATTTGAATATATAAACTTTTAGGGGTAGAGTTTAAATAGTCAATGATCTATTTATATAGTTTATTAATTTGGTCACATATGTATAAAATTGCATATTATACATTAATGTTGAAATTTCTTTATGCTGAAATTGCATTAAAATCAAAACTGCTTTTTTCTTTTTCAAATTAATTTTATTGGTTCATTTTAGGTATATAATATAGTGGCATTCATCATTGGGATCTTGTACCTTTACAGAATATATCTTGATTCTTATTTTTCCCCATTCCCCTGCCCTCCCCTCAACCCCTCCACCACTCTATTTTCAAAGACTGTTTCCATTTTTTCATATTAACTCCACTCCCTTCTTTCCTTTCCCCACCCCTCCATCTTCCCCTTTGCACCTTTCTTCCTATTTCACATTATCTTTTACACATTTTGATCCTTATTTACACTTTCAGATTCTCACACCAGTGGAACTATTTGATATTTACATGTGTGTCCTATTTATTTCACTTAAAAGTGTTGTCTCAATGTGCATCCAGTTAGCTATAAATGTCTCTAATTTCTCGATCTTTATGGCTGAATAGTACTGCATTTTATTTTTTAAAAACCTCACATATTCTTTAACCAGTCTCCAGTTGATGGGCAATTGGGCTGTTTCCAAGTTTTAGCTATTACAAACCGTGCCACTATAAACATGGGTGCACATATATTGCAGTGGTAGGATTCTTTTAGATCTTTTGAGAAGATACCCACAAGGGGAATAGCTGGGTCAAACAGGACCTCTAGTCCTAGTTGTTTGAAGTGTATCCATACTGACTTCCACAGTGGTTGCACTAGTCTACTCTCACCAACAGTGGAAAAGTGCTCCTTTTCCCCACAGCCTCACCAATATTTGTTACTGGTTGCATGAGAGCAGCCATGCTTTCTGGTGTGATGTGGAATCTCAGCGTTGGTTTCCTTTGCATCTCGAATGACCAGCGTTGTTGAACATTTTTTATATATTTATTTGCCATTTCTACTTCTTTGTCTGAGAAATGTTTATTCATTGCAGATGTCCATTTTTGGATTGGATCTTCAAATTTGGGAGGTATGATTTTTTTAAAGTTCTTTTAAAAATAATTTTATCTCCTTTGTAGATATAAATAAAATTCAAAATTATTTTAAACATAAAAGCAACAACTATAAAACTTCTAGAATAAATCTGAGGAGGGAAGAAAGCTCCACAACATTGGTATTAGTAATAATTTCTGGATTGACACCAAAGTGCAAGGAACAAAAGCAAAATAAACACCTGAGAAATATTTAAATGTTTCTTGAAGTATAAAGGAAACAATCAACTAAATGAAAATGTAGCCCATAGAATAAGAGAAAAGATATATACATACACATATGTATTATATAAAGAATAACCCCATACAGTGATAAACAGTTAATATTCAAGGTATATGTGAAACTCACAAACTCCATCAACAAAAAATAAATTATCTGATGAAAATTAAAGTCCTTTATATAGTCTAGATAGTAGACCTTTGAGGAACAGCTTTTAAAAATTTTTTCCCACATTGTGCGTTGTCTCTTTACACTGTTGGTGGTTTCTCTTGCTGTGCAGAAGCTTTTTAATAAGAAGAGATCCCACGTTGATTCTTTGTGCTAGGTCATGTGCAACTGAGTTTTTTTATGACATTTTTCCTACACCAGTGTCTTCAAGAGTAATACCTGTCTTCTAGCTGGATTAGTGTTTCTGTTTTAATATTTAGATGTTCAATCCATTTCGATTTTAGTTCAGTGCAGGGTGACATAGATAGGTCTGGTTTTAATCTTTGGTAAGTATAAACTCAATTTTTCCAGCACCATTTATTAAAGAGGCTATCTTTCCTCCAGTAAGGGTGCTTGGCTCCTTTGTTGAAGATGAGGTGGCTGAGTGTGTCTGGAGTTGTTTCTGAATCTCCTAATCTATTCCACTGATTGTCAGGTTTGTTTATTTGCCAGTTTTTATCACAGTAGCTTTGTAATATAGTTTCAAGTTAGGGATTGTGATACCCTGTACCTTGTCTTTGTTCCTGTTCCAAATGAATTTTTGGATTGCTTCCTCAAGGTCCATGAAGTATGCTGTTGGAATTTCAATTGGGATTGCACTGAATATTTATAGCAGTTTTGGAAGCATGGCCATTTTCCCTGTACTGGTTCTTCCTACTCAGGAGCAAGGGCTGTCTTTCCATTTTTTGATATCCTCTTCAATTTATTTTTTTCAGAGTGCTATCATTTTCAGAGTAGTGGTCTTTGATTTCTTTCATTAGGTTGATTCCTAGGTATTTCAATTTTTTGGATGCTATTGTGAAGGGAGTTGTTTCTCCAGTTCCTCTTTCAGTGAGTCTGTTGTTCTTCTATAGGAAAGCTATTGATTTTTCTCTGTTGACCTTGTATCCAGCTACTTACTTATTTGGTTATTAAGTTAATAAGTCTAGAAGACTTCTGGTGGAATTTTGGAGGTCTTCTATATAGAGTATCATGTTGGCTGCAAATAACAACAATTTAACTTCTTTGTTTCCTATCTTTATTCATTTTATTTCTTTCTCTTGTCTAATTGCTGTGGGTAATGGAAATTGCTTTTTCTACTCTCTCATTTTATGGAAACAATTTTACTCACACTTCATATGCATCTTTGACATTGGGATTTGTTTTGTTTTGTTTTGTTTTTCTATCTAAAGCAGCTTCTTAAGTCACTTAAAGCAGGTTTCCAGAAAAACATCTTTACATATTATCTTTACAAAATCATCTTTAAATAGTGCTGTAGTTTGGATCTGAAATGCCCCCCCAAGGGGCCCTGAATTGAAGGCTTGGTCCCAGGCCTGTGATGTTATTGGAGGGTGGTAGAACCTTTAAGAGGTGGGGCTTAGTGGGAGGAAGTGAGGTCATTGGGGGGCATGGCATTGAAGGGAATTGTGGGACTATAGCCCCTTCTTTCATTTCTCAGCCATGAGATGAGCAATTTTCCTCCTCAATTTTCTCACCATATTATGATGTGACACCACTGGCCAAAGCAACAGGTTCAGCTGACCAGGACTGAAACTCTGAATGCAAGCCTTTCCTCCTTACAAACTGATCTTCTCAGATAATTGTTACAGTAAAGGAGCACCAATTCACATACATAGGTCATTTGAATAGTTACTTGTAAGCCTCTTCAGGAGAAT